GTTTGTATGTAATGTATGAATATAATATACAAGTTTCACTTTTTAAATGGAATTACTGAAATAAATCTACTTTTTCATGATATTCTAATTTTATGACCAGCACCTGTAAGGGGAGAAAAAAAAGAAGCATTCTTGAAAATTATCCAATGAGAGAGATTATTTTCTTCCACTTCTGTTAAACTGAAACCAGCTGGTATAAATAATTCCACTGACGAACAGTCAGGACTAATGTGTGTGTCTTTTATCTTGTGTCTTCCACAGGCATCATCCCCCAGCTGTTCTCACGTCTCAACCATCCCGAGGCTTACATCAGACAGAGTATTTGCAGCCTGCTGTGTCGAGTGGCCCAAGATTCCCCACATCTGATCCTCTACCCAGCCATTGTAGGGTCTCTCTCTCTGGGAGGGGAGACTCAGAACGCAGGTACCCAACTGCCCCATTCACTTTGATAGGTGCATGTCTTTTTGTAGAGTCAAAGATGTGACATTTTGAATCATGTCTCATTTGTCTAATTACATGTAGTTATTTTGATTACAGTACATCAGGACTATTCAACTAAATTGATGCGAGGGCCACAGTTAATGCAGACCAACAGCTCAGGGGCTGAACATCCAGCAATTAAAGTTATGTAAATTAAGTATTACAAAGATCTGCTACCTTTTGAAATAGTTTATTATGCTGTATTAAGCATGAAAACATACAGAACCCTATTTAATAAATGTAGTGATAATAAAAAAGAAACATATTATGCCTCTTATTTACCACAAAATATTTTGACATCTCTGACTTGCCAAATTTTTAAACCAATTTTATTTTCACTTTCATAGTTTTATCTTCAACTGCTTGTAGTTTTAACTGTCTTGGATTTTCATAGAAATGTTTTTACCAGCTTGTAGCCAAGATTCTGACGTTTCTGTAGACACCAAACATGTCTATGTTTAACTCAAATAACAGAGTAATTAAAGTAGAAAACTGGATGTTTGGGCTTAAGAGATGAGTGAACCAATTGGCGGGCTGAACTTTGGTCACTCGCCGGCCACGTCCGGCCCGCGGGCCGCCAGTTGAATTGCCCTGCAGTACATGTCTAATCTGAAGTGTAGTTTAACAGTAATTAACAGGAGCAAAAGACTAACTCTGGCTTTAACTATGGGTTTTCTATTTATTTAAAACAAATGCCTTCTTTTTTATTTAAAAGGTAATTATTTATTGGACTTTGCAGGTTTTTCTGTCCAAAATTGCTCTGTATTTTCTGTTTGTTCTCAGGAGTTGCAATTTCTGAGTTTCAAGTTAGAAATCTCTATTGGAGTCCCTCTTGAGTTACTGGCTGCCACAAGCACGAAACGTATTTTTAATTTAATTTTTGTTTTGGTTTGAGTCTTAAAATCCGTCACACACCTAGTACCAGGGCTGACCACACCTAATTTTGTGCACTAGGCAGGATTTCAGGTGCAAGTTTCTAATGGTGCGTTCACACCGAACACGATTTCAGCGTCAAAATCGCAGCCAACGCTGAAGTTTGAAGCTTGTGCACTTTGAGGTAGGGGTGTAAGAAA